CCCCATCAAGTCACTGTGAATAAGTTCTAGTGGGGCATTGGACCTTGACAAAGATCTGTCAAATGGAAGACGATGTGCCTTTCCATATTGACATCCTTCAATTTTACCATGGCTTTTAATTTATCCATGCTAAGATGTCCAAGTCTAGCATGCCAAAGATGTGTATTATCATTGCTACTCATCATCTCAATATATGAATTAAAGGCAGATAAGACACATAAATCATTAACACTCTTACCTGAGTGAATGATACATGCCTTGAGAACTTTGCTATTTCGGAGGAACTTCACATCACGTGGGCCAAATAGAAAATAGTTTCCAGCATCTACATCATTTGCAACTGAAAATAGATTTTTCTTCATTCCTGGAACATGAAAGACACTATTGAGGGTGATAATGTCTTTTTATTTCTCGTTGACCACAACAGTGCCTTCCTTCTCCACATTATGGACCGTATTATCTGCTGTAACAATGACATCATGTCCATTGTATTCGCAAAAGGTGGAAAATTTGGATTGATCTCCAGTGAGATGGTGCCCACATCCTGAATCCACGATCCATTCTCTTTCAAAATTTATGGAAGCCATGTCATTTATTGCTTGAGTCTCCACTGCGAAGCGCTTTCCCAAGTCTTCTTCTTTTTCTTCTTCTTCTTCAACAGCTTTCTTGGTTTGAGCTATATGCTCTCTTTGTCTTGACAATATCTTTTTATGTGTCTGACTTTGCCACAATGGTAACATTTTAAAGGCTTTTTATTGTTGCTGGAAGACTCCCCTTCTTTCCTGACGAGCTTGAATCACTTGAGGATCGAAAGTACATGCTATCTCTTGATTTACTTTTAAATTTACTCTTATCGGCGATAAGAGCATTTCCTCCCCCTTCTTTGATAGATACACCCGCCATCTGTTTGGCTAGTAGCTCGTGTGACGATAACAAATTCTCAAATTCTTCCAAAGATGGTTGTTGAACCTCATCCTTGAATTGATGTAATAAAGGAAATATATTCTGGCTTTAAACCACGAATAATAATTTTTCTTATTCATGCTTCAGAGATATCAATAGAGAAATTTCGGAACACAAATTTTTAACTTTCAAAAAATACTCTGCGATAGAGAGATTACCTTGAGTGGTGTTAGCTAACTCATTCTCCAAAATCTGTAGCTGAGCTTCATCTTTCTTGTTGAACAGCCGATCTAAGGTCCTTCATATTTCATTAGCTGATTTACACCTTATAATATGATCAAATAAATTAGGAGAGATAGACCTCTTTAGGATAAACTCCGCCTTAGCATTAATATGCTTTCACTTCTTACGCACATTGTAATTTTTCGGTGCGTCAGCAATAGGACTTGTGTTATTCCCATTGACAACTTCCCACAAATCCTCACCAACAAGGTATGACTCCATACAAGTCTTCCATACCTTGTAGTTGGACTGGTTCAATAACTCCATCCTCAGTCCATTAGCACGGCCACCCAATTCCATTTAGAGAAACCTGTTGAATCAACCACTAACCCGACCTTGCAAATATATCTAGAAGCCAACGTGGATCTGATACCATGTAAAGAATAGCAAAAAAAGAATATTTTTCATAGAACTTCTACTAGCCCAAGATCGTTAACTAAGGTTGGAGGATTCAACTAAAGAAGAGGAAGCTTGAAAAGAGAAGAGAGATTTTTGAAAGGAGAACTTTGTTATTGAAAAAGACTTTCTTGAATTTGGTTTGATTACAAATGAACAAGACACCCCCTATTCATACTAGCCTATGGATGATTCTAGATAATGTATTATCTTCTAACAATACTCTAAAATATCTAGATATGTCTACTAGATAACCTTATCTTCCCACAATATTCTAGAATATCTAGATGTGTCTACTAGATAAATATCAAGGATACTACACTACGACATTCTAGAGAAGTCTATATTTTTCCAAAAAATTAACTTTATTTTTTTTCACAAACATTTTTATGCACTTAAAGCCAAATAGGCCTGAAGTGGAAATTGTCTAGAAACAAAAAATTATTCTTCGAATTTTAACAATCCAATATACGATTTAACACCTAAATCTACTCCAAATGAGCTCAAATTTGAAGCATAACCTCTAAATATCATCAAGAACAAACCCCAATCATCAATTTGTCAAAACAAAAATAAATCTGACGAACCCATTTTGCAATTAAGAAAAAAAACTCTAAGCAATAGTAAAAAATAAAGCGTCACATCATCTTTCAATTACCACTGTAAAATATCATAAACAATCTTAAAATATGTTCACAAACGCCATATAAAATTATTGTCACCCGATGATGAAGAAGAAGAAGAAGAAGAAGAAGAAGAAGAAGAAGAAGAAGAAGAAGGAGGAGGAGGAGGAGGAGGAGGAGGAAAAAAAGACCTGAAATTGTTTAAACTTTCGGCACTAGTTAAAAATTTTAAAAACGAGATACATGTTAAACAGGGACGATCAAATAGGACGCCCCATGTAATTTTTAGGTTAATTAATAATGATCGTACTAATAACCCGTGCAAGTGCTGTTTTCATGGGCTAGTTTAACGCCCCTAGGCCCTAGCTTAAAGTAGATTGCATTTGCAACAGTTCCTTCCCTTGCTTCAGCACTAAACCCAAAAAGAAAAAAAGGATACAACTTAATAAGAAAGCGCTAACTCACATCTCAGAGCTGCTGAAGGAAAACGTACTGCTCCCTCCATTATATGGCATCCCCGTAAAATTAGCTGTTTAATCTGACTTGTAGATTATATTATGATCCTTGAAAGAAAATGATATAAAGAAATGCATAAAAGTTCACATTTGATATGTACTTTAGTGAATTGGATTATTGAAATTTCTAAAATTTGATTAATAATATTATCCATAAAATAGAGGGATAGGGGCTATGAAGGGAGAGGACGTTGACAAAAAACTGAACCTTGTCTACCAATTTGTCTCTAATTTAGGTCCTTAGGTTTGGTGCTTTTACAAAATAAATGCGGACCGGTCCCCAGTCACATTAATTATTCTCACTGAAACGTGGATGAATAGAATTTTTGCGAGACACCTGGCTCTATATATTAGGTTATGTCTCTCTAAGTTAACATATCAAGGCCCCAGCTTTCCTCAGTTGATATTATTGTGTGTCTGTGTGTTACTTTTTACCGTCAACTTCCTCTTAAGTAGTACTACAGAACTTTTTGTTATCCAACTTCTCAGGTGTTGTATATATGACTATACTAGTCAATTAACCCGTGCTTGGCGCGATCAATAAGAAAAAAAATTAAAATATATCTACTATTTCTTATAAAGAATCAATTTACACTAGTCAATCATCTCTTTGTGATTCTACCATAAATAATTATAACAAGCAAATAACTCATTACAACTGGTAAACTACATTTGTTATTTAAACGTACGCTCTTTTAACTTTTAATGATAATAATAGTGTACATAAGTTAAAATATCATCTTTAAGCACTTGAAAATAAAAGCCAAAAATTAAAATATAACACCTTTAACTTCATCCAGATGAAACGACTTCTCAATCTTACTATCTGAAAGGTTACATTGGACATTGGCTTTAGCAGCAGGAAACTAATACAAGTATCTTTTGAAGCAAATAACATCAATAGAGGTTTTGAAGAAATACTCTTACTCATACACTTTATATTAAATAAAAAAAAGTATCAAAAATTAGAGTACTTGTAATATTATACTTCTCCCATTTAAGAAACAAAAGTACTACAAATAACCACTTAAGAAAATAAGAATTTAAAACATAGGTATTGCACTAATGAATACTTCGAGGAATTCTGCCTCAACCGCTCACTATTTCCTTCTCCTTCACATTTCAGTTGTGCACCTTGTTTGGCTTTAATTCAAGAACAACAATAACTCTCAACCTGCAAAAAACCCTATATCCTCCTCACCGATCAACGTCCACAATTTGATATGCTTTCAATAGTTATTGAGCTAAGGAAGTAAATTTCAGTTAACATTTGCAATACAAACAAAACTATAATTTTCCTTGAAAGGCAGAAACAACTCTACTTGATATTCTCATTAGTTAGCATAATTCTTATATGAGAGTTCATTTCTTGGTAACATAACATTTAGTAGTCCATTAGCAAACTTGAATGCCTTGAACCAAGTTAATCAGTTCTAGAAAATCAAGAAAGATTTAACTTCAAATGGATCGAGGGTCAATTGATTAAAGGAAAAAATACTAATCTTGAATTGTTAGTACTTTTCCCAAAAGGTATTCCAGAATGAAAGTGCTTTTTTAGACTTTCAAACTGTTCCCGTGACCAGACTTGTAAATTGCATTCCAAGAAGGATTTATAGAATTGATCCAGCAGATATATCTGATTCTATTTGTAAAAGACTCATATGGTGGATAAAGTTGTTGAAACATGTTAAGTCTGAGTGTTATCTCATAGCTCTAAGATAAGTTGTCATGGAAGAAAAATTATGACCTTAAGAAACAGTAATGGAGATGCACTAAGCATTGGAGCAGATACACCCGGGGGCGGATCCAGCGTAGCGGTGCCAGGTTCATTTGAACCCAATGCTTTCGACCCGGAGCATAAATATATATATAAAAACTATCTAAAATAGGAACAAATAGCATATATAAACATATAACTTTAACAATATAATGAGTATGAACCCATAGAATTCAAATCCTTGATCCGCCTCTGGATACACCTTAGACATTATCGACAGATAGTTCATTGCAATACATTAGTTAGAATATGATTTGAAAGAGAGCAGTACTTGCATATGCCAAAATTCCAACCAAAACTCAATTAACAGTCAAGAAGTTTTAATAAATAGTTAAAACAATACCTTATCTGTCATTATTTGTGCAGAAATTATTAGATGAAAACTCAAAGTCTCACAAATTGAATGACAACATATCAAAAATATGTAAACTTACTCTGAAAAGGAGAAAAAAAGCATTCAGATAAGAAAAACACACATCACAAGAAGTACGAAAAATTTCCTTGGAAAAATCTCAGTGACACAATGACTAAAAGCACAATATCACAACAATAAAAAGAAAATATTTCGGTGAAAAAACGTATGTGTAACAGCTGTTCTTGAGTTTACAATTCCAGTTTTCTTCAACTTCTCCATACTTTATCCGAATAGATCTTTACTGTTCAAAATAAATTTGAAACAACAATCAGAATACCAACAAAAGAGATTAAACTAAGAATATAATCTATCAATTTTTTGCCTTCATAAGTTGAAACCTCCCGCACCTATTTATTCTCACTTGAGCAAATCTCATAGGTTAATAGAAGAACTAAGTTTGGTTCTTCCAGAGCACCATTATTCGAACCCAACCTATAAACACTAACAAACGAAGCAAAGCTAATCAATATAATACAAATGAACTTTAGCCCGTTACAAAAATTCAAAATTAATCAAAATTTACAACATACGTAATTAAATAAAATATTTGCATAAATACATCAAATTAAAGGAGGAATCAAGCAATTGAAAGCTAGAGGAGATTTACGTTGGCCGACGGAGAGAACAAAGGGAGAGATAGATATTTAACTGGCGAAAGAAGAAGAAGAAACAGTTGAAGAGAGGTGTCGTAATGGAAGAGGAAGTAAAGCGACGTGTGAAAGTAATTAGAGGAAGATCCACAATTATTAAGATTATTATAAAAGTCAACTTTTGAATTTTTGATAGAGCCGTTAAAAGGAAAAATTTGGAGAAAAGGAGAATGTAGAAAATCGAGATTCCTGGGCAATGAGAGGTGACATGTAAGCGAGCTTATGTCCCTACTTTATAATTGTAACAAAAAAAAATTCAAAGTTATAAAAAAAATCACGTCACCAATGCTTCAATCGAAAGGAGATGCATTTCCCAAATGATTCAGTCATAAAGCATGGTGGAAAAATCTTGAAAAATATTTGGTATTTGTAAAATTAATTATTCCTCTTGGTTTAATTCTCAACTTGGGTTTCGAGGGTTAGTTTGAGAGTTTAAAAGTGAGTGAAGTCTGGAGAAGGATAAAAGATGAAGAGTAAGAACGGTTTAACGTGAGTCGAAGAGTTTTATCCTCTTTTTATTGACATGGAATATTAATCTTGGATTAAGCATTTTAAATTGAAATAAATGAAAAAATAAAAGAAAAAAAGTAAAATGAAAATTATCTGATACTAAATAATAGAACTGACCGAAAAACGAACCCTCATGGAAAATTATTTACATATTAGTGAGAAGTCAGAACAATATCATTATATATACCCTATAATAGGGGTGTTCATAAAAATCCGAAAACCTGAACCAAACCGAAAACCAAACCAAACCGACCAAAAAAACCGATACTTTTTGGTTTGGTTTAGTTTTGATTTTGAAATTTAAAAACCTATCAAATTTGGTTTGGTTTTGATTTTAATAAAAAAAAACCGAACCAAACCAAATATAGGAGTAGCTATTTTAAATTTATTTATTACACCTATATATATGTATACTTTTATACAAATTTTCAAAAATTTTATAGTAAATGTTAATCGTTTGCACTTTTAGTATACGTCTTTACCGTTACATTCTAGTTTGATTGGTAGTTTTCTTTTGTTAAGTGTAAGAATATATTTCATGTTAAAAATAATATATTTTTAATTGAGTCCTTAAATTATTCATCACTATTTGATTCAATTATCATCAATATATCTTGGTAAATAATAGATTTCTCAAAGGGCAATTGATTTGATAGTGTTACGTTGAAAATGTGGTCGCCGAAATATGTGTTTGGTAGTGTATATCTTATATTTAAGAAAAAACTCACAAATAACCGAAAAACCGATATAAACTGAATCAAGAAAAAATCGACTTAATTGGTTTGCTTTGGTTCTAATATTTGAAAAACCAACTTACTTGGTTTGGTTTCTTTTTAGGGAAAAAATCAATCCAAACCCAACCATGACCCCCTACCCTATAATAGTTACTAAATATTTTCAGCAATGACTAACCCTCTAGCCTCTGTCTGCTTCATCCTTTCTGAAATGAAGAAACACCGAAAACGCCTTATTCTCTGCCTACAATTGATTTCCTGACATTCAATAAATTCCTACAATTGATTTCGTAAATGCTAACCACTCCAAAATGCCTTATATCAGATAAGTTCATCAATGATAAAGATCCTATCAATTATCAAGTTAGAAGCGGTTAGCATTGAAGTGTTCACGGTTCTAACTAATAATTGACCAACCATAATAAACATTAACGAAACATGAAACAGAACTAATTAATCTCAAAACAAAAAAGAAATGATTTACCTGGGGAATTTTGGAGAAAGAAGACGAAGAGGGATAGAATTTCATCTAGCAAATGGAAGAAGGAAGAGGAAAAGAGCAAGGTTGCAGCAAAAAAAAAAAATTGGGCCTTTGCCGTAGAATAATAAAACGGAAGATGATGACGCATAATTAAGATGATTATTAAAAGTGTCTTTTCGGTTAAGATAACTTTTAAAAGTGACTTTTCAATTTTTAAATAGATTACTTAATAAATAAAAACGGCAGAAATTTAAGAAAAAAGATAAATAGTAATCCTAGTTTCTAAGAGGTGCCACATCATCATCTTTTGTCCCTCTTTTATATATATATATATATATATAGATTGGCAATGTCATATCTGATCTAGGATTTTAGGTTTACGGGTTATCACAAAAATTTCGAGTTAATATACAATACTAATTGGATGAACAGACTAGGTTCCAAGTTAAATATTCTTATACATTTAATGAATTTTTCAATATAAATACAGGTTCTAGACAAAAGCTACTGGGTTCACGGGAACCCATAACTATTGAACTTGATCCGCCCATCTCTAATTGTTAGAGAAAGAAGGCGTAAATTAGACCTAGTTATCATCGTTATATGGATTGATTATACAATTATTTGAAGGGGATATTCTTATAATTAACTTTCAAAACCCAGTCCTGCATGCATCTCCATTTGAACGATATTAGTGAAATATTTTTGAGTCTGTTTTCGTCATGGAAGGACGTCCTCTTTACTGGGTTGTTTTAAGATAAAGATCCTCGCTGCAGTTCCATTAATTACAATCTTTAACATATATCCTAAAGTCCTAAACCAAACTCAAACATGTTCAATATACCTGTAAAGTAAAAAATAAGAAGGAAAAAAAAAAAGAGCTAGTACAAAAGTATAAGAAGTTAAACATGCGGGAGTTCCAAAATCTCTCTTAGCGATATATGCTTCTGATTTAAATGGATTACTTAGTGAATTATACAAATAGTTCTTTCACAAGGAATTAATGCCTAATAAAAGATATCATATCAAATTTAATAGTAGTATTGAATTATCTTTTTGATTTTTCACCTATTGTTTTATATCCACATTGGGGTCTCATTAAAATTTCACATTGAGTTTAAAGCATTCCCCAAAAGAGCAATTGAAATATAATGACAAAGGTATTCCTAATAGCAGACCCATAACATGCGACACATGATCGATTACCACTTTTTGCTCGGGGCCGGGCATTCAAAAGAAGACGATTTCCATCATTTATGGTATTGACTCATCTTTTATTTCCTTTTCTGATAAGCTGAGTCACGTTCCTTTTTACCTATTTTCCTTTTTTTGAAACACATTAACGTAGCAGCTTCAATACTACGTGGTAGGGTACAATTTTCTCTTCTTTCTGACCGCATTTTCTGCTCTTTTTATTTCCAAAAGGGTGATAATTATGGGAAAAGTCAAATATTATAAGAGTTTAAACATTTGAACTCGCACTACGAACTAACGATAATGCTCAATAAGCTAATTGACTAGGAATATCGAATACGTGCAAGTATATATTTCTGACGGATTGGGTATTGCCTCAAGCACGAAATACACATGAAATTAAGTGAAAGTAGGTTCCACAACCAAAATTATGAGCAAGTTGAATTCTTTGGTAATTTTTTTTAACTCTTTAATTTATCGCGAAACTAGAATTTTAACTTTATTCGGGTTCAGTAGCTCCCAAGTTTTTTATATTTATTGTTTGTGTAATTATTTTCTCCTATTAATTTTTCCTTTTGAAGGGAAAATATTTTACTTTTTATCAGATGAAAACTGGAAAGATTACTAATATATATAT